TATATATATAAATAAATGAAACGACGTCTCAGTATCGATTGTCAACAGGTGAGCTTTTGCACATGCATTTAAATATCTTGTCTCCATCGTCACATCTCCCTCCCTCCCCGCTCCATTCGCATACCTTTTTCTTTTTTATATCGATTTGCATGCGTCGAATAGAAAAATCAAAAACGGCGAACAACGTTTTTCGACCCCGTCGATCCTTCCGATGTAACCGTAATTTGATTTGAACCTTCTTAGATTAACGAAAGCCTTTCTTAGGTATTATATATATTTATCACATCGAGCATTTATTATTCAACCCTGTGCGCTATATTAAATATTATTATCGATATTACGGAACATCGTTTCGTATCGTGAGCTCAGGCGACAAATTCACATTAAATTTCATAAAGCGCGATTGAATTAAACTAATTGAGTGATTCGATCAAATAAGTCGTTTTTTACTTGATAGGCGCAGTTGATTAGTCAACGATTTGATCGTTTTATGTAACACGTCGCATAAAATCTTATAGAAGCGAATATCTAACAGTGTAAAGGGATGAAATGTATATATCTTCCTCTTTTATATATTTAACACTTTACATTACGTTCTACGTCTCGTATTTAGAAAAGCGCGTTGCTAATCGACTATGCGTGGAAAAAATAATTTTCCTTCTCTACAACAATCTCTCTATCTATGGAAAATAATTCTTATATCTCTCATATATAACAATCTATTTTCTAGTAAATCGGGGGCCAACAGGGTCGAATTACAAAACCTGCTGTAAATTTGCATTTACTACGTCTCGCAATAAGTCGCGTACCTGAGAGATCTTTCGTCTAACATAGTCGATGTTATCTTGTAAATAATCTCTCGTCGTACGTAGAGTACAATTATATATTTTATACAGGTGTTGTATATCTTATTTAAAGAGCTAAAATCGTTGCAACAACATTCGACGCGACTACAATGTCTGTCGATCGACTTGATCTAAAAATTTTTCATTCTTTGTTCGTCCTTTATCATTCCATATTCGGAAAGAATTGAGATATGAAAAAGAGAATTGATCTCTTGTATCGTACTTTAGGATAAATTATCATTGATGAAATAGCGAAATGCAATTATATTCAGCTGGTCGTCTCTATATATGTTAATGATTATCAATCTGGCAGACTTTAGACGTAGTTGCGTACCTTTTACTTTAAAAGCGAGAATTGTTCGTTGTGACGTAATTGTCGCTTTCAAACGAGTATCGTCCTCGAGCATTATTTAAATTTACATAGTCGATAATTAAAGATTTCATTATATATGTTCAATTTTTGTCCCAGAACAGTTTTAGTTCCATTTAGTTCTATTTCCAAACTATTTCTTTGAGATTCTATTAAAATAAAGTAAAAACAAAATACATTAAATCACTAAAATCTATGTTCACATCTGACATTTAAAATAGAATGTGAATATAGAATTTAGAGCTAAAGCAGTTTTTGCCTAGCTTTTAATTTTCATTTGAATCCATAATATAAGAGAAATTGAATCATATAAACGTTATTCCTACTTCTGTTAACACTATCCTCTTTCTTTTAATTTTATCCAAGTCTCATTCAGATTCTGTTCAGCTGTTCTAAGATTAACATTTGAAAAATTCTTTTGAACAGCTTAGAAAGTGGATTGTAATGATACGTCTCGATTGTAGTCTCGCTCGCGAGATCTTCGCTTTTTTTTAACTTTTAGTTCGACTATCTTCCCAAGTTTCTGGAGAGCACACACCATTCCTTCGTCGCTTGATAGGAACGTTTGTTAATACTAAAAATGCTAAGAAATTCAACATTTGTCTCGTGCAAAACATTGATTTCCAGTGTAAGAGGACGGAAAAGTATGTGCAAAGTATTACATTTCCTTGCTAGGCGCAATTCGTCTCACTTAGGTTTCTCAGTTCTATATCTCATACGATTATTATATCTTACAATACGAGTTCCTTAAATGAGTGTGCCAGCCCTAAAACCGATATATTTATACAAAATAGGCATGTAGAGTTTTTGGTGTTCTTTTCAACAATTTTTTAACTTTCGTCCTGCACGTGGGATCCATGCAACGAATAATCAGCGCGCGCGCGCGAATAAACTTAGAATCTCAAAACAAGAATTGTACGTTGTACAGCCGTTTTCGTTTCTGTTTTCTCCGAATCGGAAGTAGATATAGTGATCCTAAATTTGAGCTTCTGTTATCTATTACGAACAGTGACGCAACTATTTTAAAAAATGATCCCGCCAAAAAAACACACGAAGAAAGAAAATTAATCAGAAAAAAAGGAACTTTAATTAGAGAGAAGTAGTACGAATTTTAGGCTGCAGTAAATACTGCTTACATAACAACAGATCGGAAATCACTAGAGAATGATCTACTCAATACTATAACTCTAGCTTTACTATTTTAATTTAAATCAAATTTTTTAATTGTATAATTACTTTTCTCGAAATATCTCTTTGTTTATCCAAATTTACTCTTGTACGGGAGACCGGTAAAAAATGAGCAGTTACGCCACTATCAATAATCACAGATCAACGCAGATTGTATCTCTGCTTGATCTAATCGTATTATACGTATGTACTACCAGCTACCAAGACGAAGCTCGGTGTACTCTTTGATTATCACTGCTTTTGCAAGCGGTAGTTGAGGGCAGTGAAACCTGATGACCGACATTTCTGTGGAAAAATGCTCTATAAGATCGATTGGACTTTCATTGCAACAATGAGATAAAGATAGAATCGTGTTTTTAATAATTTCGTTAAAATTATTAATTCCATTATACAAATTAATGGTGCGGTGTTATATTTTATATTTGGCTTATTCTCATCGTAATTATCCCAATTATACAGTCAAAAAGACAATTACGTTGCCAACTATATTGTGCAACTGAGCGACTAGATGTGTGTGTTTTATACTTATTTCTTATTAATATTTATTCATATATTATTTCTCAGATTTGCACGCTAATCGTCAAAGAGATTACAATAATCGAGATAAATCTTTTAAAAATTTCCAAAAAAATGTCTCGAAACGAGAGAGTCCTTGCCTTCGCTCTCTTCTTCATAATCCGTGCGACCTTGAACTCGTTCGCGGCAGAGATATCGGTCATCGTGTTTCGCGTGTCCAAAAGTCTTTGACTCGCGGCATGCGATAAGTCGCACGCCTCCCTTCAGCGTTCGGCCCATCGCGTGCAAATACAGAGAAGGCATTTAGCACGGCCGTGGTATTATTGGCCGGAGCTGACGGACATAGTGTCGCTGCCGGTGGACGCGGTGTCTGACAACGGGGGCGGCGCCGCCGATGTTAGCAGCTCGTAATGGCCCCGCGGTATCCGCGGCACGGCGTGCGGCGACATCACAACGGCATTCACGTTCTCCGGTAACGGCGGTAACACGTTGTTCTCAAACTGACCGGACACGTTCCCGACCGGCTCGTAATTAGCCACCACGATTATCTTGCCGCTTCTGCTGTGCGCCTTGCCGACCCCGAAGTAACGGCTACTCGCCCATATCAGCTGGGTGAAATGGCCTAGGAAGTGGCGACGCTTTTTTTAGTTCTTTTTTCTTTTTTAATTAGTCTCCGTAAGAGAGACAATTAGAGAGCGCGTATTTTCGATTAATTCCTGGATTTAGAATTCAGAAACGCACGCGACATCACTATTTTTTTACCTGCATTCACATTGGCGTGAAGAACATCCGGTTCCTTGAGAAAGTCGTACTGCCTCACGGCCGAGTACCAATAGGACGCGACCTCCTGTCCTGTGACATCGCCGGGTACGCCGCCACCGGGGCGACAATAAAGATTGTGACCCACGTTGCGATCGTTTTTGTAGTAGAACGTGTTCGTGTGCGCCAAATGATTCGCCCACGATTGAGCGTACTCGCACAACTGCAACGATACATATATGTATATATGTGATAACACAATTCGACAAAAAATAACTTTTTCGGACAAAAACAAGAAAACTCTTATAACATCTTAAAAGTTTTTTTTCTCTTGCAACTTTAACTGCAAATTTATCAAAATTGTGACATGATGGACCAATTTAGAAAATAGAGCGTCAAAAAAACCATGAGAAATGACTAGTCTTGTTTCTATATATATTTCTTTTTTGTTGAGCTGTGTAACCATTACAAGTATTGTCTAAAAAGAAGTTTGCGTTATACGCAGACAGCGTTTTCTTGTTCCCTTTATCATTTTTTACCTGCGGCGACATAGTCAACGGAGGTGCGTTATGCCGTTGCCGATAAACGTTATGCCAGCAAAGGCACTCGGTGATAAATTCGCTGTCGCGCCAATCGGTCTCCAGATCGCTTCTATCGAGCGTGATACTCATCGGCCGGTTGCTGAGTATCTGCAAGAAAATTCATAAGATGTGAGATATCTGCGAGAGGCCGCGCGATAACTTTACCCCGATGTACGCGATAACGTTACACGCGATATCGCGTACTTATTCACCCTTGTATCTCACATATTTAAGAGGTTGTATAGGAATAAAAAAATAGAATATTTTTAACATATGGTGTGAAATTTTCGTTTAAACAAATAAAAATAACTGTAAATATTTTCCTTGTTAAAAAATATAGTTTTCTTTTCCCAAAGCTTAAAGAATCTTAAATGTTACAGACAGATAGAAAAAGGAGAAAGAAAAAGCTCAATTCTCAACAGCCTTACTTTGTATCTTTCCAAATTCCGAAGAAAGTTTTATTCCGTGGAAAATAATTTCATACGAATAGCTAAAATGCTTGAAAGTTTGCCAAATTAAAAATTTGAGTAAACAGATCAATGATGCGGTTTTTCAAAAGTGCATTTAGCGACAGGATAGCATATAGGAACCGAGATATTAGTGCGCCGCTCCTGAATCTAAAGTATCGACCCAAGTACTTTGCGCGCGTGCTCCTTCGCACTTTTGATTTCGTATTCCATTTCGAAAACAGTCGTATCACAACGAGCAAGCCAAGGACATAACGGAAATTATATTCCGCGAACTTGAGACGTATCCGACATAGCGCGTTCGTGTAGTTGTTCAATGTTTCACCCAAGTTTGTAAGGAGATGCGATCTCACAGTTGTTTTTACCAATTTTATTTCGCAATTTTTATATTTTTTGATAATAATATAGAATTAAATTATTTTTGACAACAAAATATGACAATCTCTACAATATATATTTAGATTGAAAATATGTTTTCAAAAATATCTACACCAAAAAAGATTTATTCCATTTTGAATTTAATATAAAAACATTACTTTTAAAATATAAAAATAATATAAAAATTACTTTTAAATAATTTTAATTAAATAAATTAGAGATTTAATGGTGTATTAAATATGATTTTATCTCAAGAAGGAAAATATTATATATATTAAAAGAAAAAAAATAAATTGTTATTTATTACTTTAAATAAATTTGTCCGGCAAAGTTATTTTACATTGAAGTTTCTTTTACAAAATAATATCATTCTAAATTGTCACGATTTTTGGACCGCCTACCTTTTTCAGAAGTTTCGGTCGATTGTCCAGCTGTTGTTGAGTCTGTTCATAATTTAGTGAGGACGAGGTAGATACAACCGGATCGACGATTCTGTCCGCCTTGTACAATTTGCTTTGTTCTACTCTCTTCCTGAGATTCTCCAAGGCCTTCGCTTCCTCGCGCTTCCTGGATGGCGGCCAGTCTTCGCTCGAGGTGTGGATTATGCTGATTCCGGCACATGGTGAATCCTGACGAGCGCAATTAACATATATTCATGGATTAATTCAGAGTTTTTTTCATAGATTTATCGTAATTTCATTTTATGTTGTGTTATTTGTAATATTTTACTTCTTTTTTTTTATCGTAATGTATTCGATTGCCTCGGATATATAAGGTTTTGATCTTAAATTCTCCGAGATCTCTTTTGCTTCAAAAATGTGAGAAAAAGAGATTATAATTTAAAAGATTTATCCTTTACAATATCTAATTTTATTATATATTTTTGAAGAATACAATTGGGTTTTCTGTCAAATTTTAAATTGTATGATTGTAAATAATCAGTAGTAAAGAATATTTATGAATTAATTGTAATAAAATAAATTTGCATAAATTAATGTAAAATCAGATTGTTGCGAAAAATGTAATATTAATAAAATAGATAAAATCATTAAATTAGCATTTATGTAATCTTATGTAATATGCAATGCTTCTCGTAATAATTTCAAATAATAACTGTTTAAACAAAATATACATACAAATCGACGGGCAGATATTAAATATAATTCTTAGATAACGAATTCTTCAATTATAACAGAAAGAGAGATTGAAATCTTTGAATTTCCACTTTGCTCAATTTTTAAGCTCTAATTAACGTCAAGTGTCGAGTGTGCGAATTTTTCATCTTGAAATCCTATGCTTAAAGTTCCGCGATTGTGTATATGACCGCGTCTCGGACAATCGGAATCCCGATTGAGATGAAGTCGTGTCTTCTCGGATCGGATCCTCACGCGGACCGCCAAGGACCGACCTTGAGGTGATCGCTGTTGGAAAAATTGTAATCCAAATTCGCGGCCTGGCTGAGCAATCGTCGGCTCGCGGGGCATCGGTTGCGATTGATCATCTCCTTCTGCATCGCGTACTCGATGAAGTAACTTTCATATTCGGCGTTGTCACGCTGCGGCAGGAGCTCCGTCGTCTCCTCCGCAGTGCCGTACGCGCGGTTCACCTCGCGCAGCTCCATCGCGAATAAGAGAAGCCTCGCAGCTTCGGCCGCGATCCGCGTTCGGGCCAGACCGAGCGCATACTGACTGCATATCCAGATTCAGCCAGCCTACGATATCGTACAATGCGGACATCGTACGTTTGCGCGCCAAGCCCTCGGCCATCTCCTCGCAAACGATGGAAACTGGATGAAGCGTATCGCGATGAGAAAGTAAAAAGATTAATGAAACGATATACATGAGCGTGTTATGCCATTTGATGATGTTCACTAAATCTGCTCGATTTATATTTTTCCACAAAGCCACATGCTGGAGAAGTTTTATTGTAATAAAAATTATGTATGTTAAGATTTTCAGAATTTAAAAAGAAATTTATATCGACTGTGGTTAATAAGATATATTCATGATTAAATATGATCTATTGGGGAAAAGTTGCAAATTAGATTACTGAAAATCTATATAAAATAATTTTCAATTATATTTATATTCGAACTTAAGGAATTTATAGATCGCTAAATACGAGCTTAATATCAAAATTGACAAATTTAAAATGGCGAAATTAATATAAATGTCAAAATTTAAAAATGTTTAATTTTTGCAAAAATTTATATATATATATTTTGAATGATTGTGATTATCCTAACTTAAATGGCGAAATTCTCTTGCCTTCAGAAGTGGATGGAGTATTTTTGTCATATGCAATGTCATTGTATGATTCTCAATGATCTAATTCGCAATTTTCCCACAATACATCCCATATTTAATGAATATTTTATTAATCTATAATCGCGATGTAACAAATTTCTTTTGAGAGGACCGAAAGTCCTCAATACATTTAATTTTGTGACTGTAATATAGAACTTCTCCAAACAGCACATATCATAACTACAATATGACAAAATACATTAAAATGACTTTCTTGCAACTTTAACTAGAAATTTTTCAAAATTGTAATGTGATAAAGCAATTTGGATACCAGAGTCGTATTCAAAACAATGTCAAAATAATATTGAAATAACTAGTCTTGTTCTTGTGTTCAAGAGAAAGTTATTTTTTGTTGAACTGTATAATTCTCGAGTCTGTATAAATTGAAATTAAATATACTTAAAACAAGAGGAATTAGAAAAGTAAAACTATCTTAAAAGAGACAAATATTAATAAAAAAAATCATGAATCTCTTTCATCCATGTGTGTGACGGTCAGTGATGGTTATTGAGAAGTTTTCTAATTATTTAGACGTGACAATCCGGAAAAAAATATCAGTTACAGTAATTTTTTAGAAAGTTTTGCGAGCATTAAAAATAGAGTATTATAAAATGCCGCGTTTTATTATCTAAAATATATATTCACGAAATCTGATATAAATTAAATGGTAAGATAAAACCTCACGTATTTGTAAGTTTGTTATTGTTTATTTTACAGAAGTACATCAATCTTGGCTGGCATCCACATTTTCAGTTTGAAGACCCTTAAACGTTGCAACAGGTATATATGTGACGAGGGTATAAAGCTTGTTTGCAGAGTCCTCGTCATCATTTCTTCTCCTGCTTAATCTTACACGAACTCTGAAGGGAACATTCCTGAAAAATAAATAAATGATATAAAGAATATTGCAGAATTACTTTATCTATTCATTATTTTATCTTCATATTCTTCTATCAACAAAGAATCAATATTTTCATAACAAATTTGCATATAAATAAAAAGTCACCTTAGATTCAAAAATTGTATTTCATACATTACTAACTAAAGCAAGAAATTACAATTGAATGAGGTTTTCTTTCAATACATATCAATTTGTACTTTTTCTATAAATTAATGTGTTTCAAAAAACTATAATAAATTATAGTAGTTTATAGTCAAATAATTATTGATTATTATGACAAATTATTATCAAATGGTTTAAGTATGTAAAATTCTTCAATTCAGATTTTATCTAGAGCTTACCTGATGCCCTTGGACCACAACTGCTTGTTGAGACGTGTGTCTATCCTAACATCAGGCGTTCCCATTTGCTTCTCCGCAAATTTTCTGATCTCCTTGATGGCTCGTGGAGCACGTTTCTTGAATCCAACGCCATGTAGACGCTTGTGAAGATTCACTGTATATTCACGAGTCACCACCTCGTTGATAGCACTTTTTCCCTTCTTTTCAGAAGATTTAGCCATCTTTTTTACCTAGTTTAAAAAAATTGTTAATTGTACAGATAAAGAAACATGTGTAAGGTGAAATTAGACATACATATCTAAGAAATGAATATTCTATGAAAGAAAATAAGTTTATGAATAAAGAGAAAAAAATTCTTAACAAAGCAAAAGATATAACAGCTATTTCGCGAAGAACAAAGAATTATTAATTTATTGCAATTATACTATTTAGAACGCAGTACGTAATATATTATAGTAACAAGTAAAATCTGTCATAATGATCAACAACAAATGCATCCATCACATGTTCAACGCCAATTAACGGCGGAAAAAAGTGAGTACGACAATTAATTCAATATTAATTGACGAAAAAAAGATCTACTGGATAGGATTTTGTAGGATTTAAGTATTTGTGAAAAATCTACAGTAGGATGTTTATGGATTATAATTTAAGAATAATCATCACTACCTCTTCCACTTATAGCTAGGTGAGAAAGAGCAGGAGCCGCAAGAGGGGAGATAAAAGAAAGGAAATTTCCTCTGGGAAAAGGAAGACAGCTTCAGCGACATCTGTGTTGGCTCCAACATGAATTAATACACGAGGTTGCGTTCCAAAACTTACTCCCTGATTGACCAATCAGGACAAGAGAAACAAAAAATTTTCTGTTTTGATTGGTCAATGAAACGCTACTCCGACGAATGAATTTTCGAACGCAATCCTCGATCGAGTTCTCGAGATTACAATGGCTGATAGCTTCGAGGACGCGCTCAAAGAGAGAGAGACAGAGAGAAAGAGAGAGATACATACGTTCTCAGTTCTCATCACACATTAACCTGCGATGTCGAGTTGATCGTTTAATTCCCGTTTGATTGATGCTCGCGGAGCCCCTTTTTAAATAAAACGGACCAGAGCACTAAATATGGCCAGCAAAGTATGGCATACAGAATTGTGGAAGTCATGGGATAAACACGGAAGAAACGATTTGTAAGTGGTGTTGTTGGCGCGTCGCCTGGTCGACGCGATCGACACGGTGCATTGCTGGTTCACGAAAACACTTATCTACTCCTGTTAACTCGCTCTCTACTGAAGACTTAATTTGTCAATTCACGCATGTTTGCAGCCTCAAGCTAATCAAGCACAAATTTAAGGAAGGCAACGCACCAGGTAATATATTTCGCCGCCGAGTATATCTTTTATTATAAAGCGCTTAAACTAGCACGCCGTCGATCTGAACCATTGTTGCTTCTTCGCGGCAAACATACAATGCTTCCTATTCCAGTTCCCAAACGTATATGCATATATTCCAAAATTTTATATATTCTTGAAATTTTCTGGTTATATACAATCATTAACTCGTTTTCTTCTCTTATTTTACTTATTTATGAGTATTTCATATATTTTAAATTGGAACGAGAGAGAATGGTGGTTCTCTGAAAATATCTGCAATCACGATGCAAATTCGTTTTTTTTTTATTATTATTTTTTTTATGTATTTTTAATTCCCTTTCCACATATGTACGCATTGTTCTATATTTAGATTATATTGCCTGATTTTATATGTAATTGTATCTTCGATGAAAAGAATTTTCAATTTTATCTTTTGATTTATAGAATGGAAGCGCGGATTATACGAATTAATCTCAAATGGAATCCATGGGAATGTAAAAAAGGACAGTGTAGTACAGACATTAGGTGAACTTACGGTATGACAAAATTTTTATTACTATTTTAAGCTTTATAAAGAATTATCAAAATTACAGATTGTTAAGATAGAATTATAATGATATTAACTTATAAAATTTATTTGTAGAATTTTGATGGTGCAATACCATCTGCAATAGTAGATATATTTACTTTAATCGATGCAGAAGCACATAATGAAGAAAGGAACAATTTTTATTATATTGTGAAAGAGTCTGAAAAGGTATGTATACATTTTTATATATATATTTATATTATATATCTTAATTTAAAAATACCATAAAAAATTATTGAGAAGAAGAAATATTAAAAGGAATATATATCACAGTTTTAAAAACAGATTTACTGTTTTAATGAAGCAAGAGTTCTTATACTCTACCTCAACTTCTTCTATTTCTTTTGTTCTTCACAGTTTTTGACCGACAGAATATTGAAAGAACGTTTAGAGATTGAAACTTTGCAAGATGTAGGAACATTAAAAAACAAAAATTTTCAAACCAAGTTTATAAAAGTAAAAACAAAATTATAGTGAGTATTTTCATATCAATGTATACAAAAGTTTGATCTATTTTTGTAGTGTGAGACGAGATTTAAAGAGATCTCATCCATTTTTTTGCAGTTATAAGCAGAGAAAATTTAATTTATTTCGTGAAGAGAGCGAGGGTTACTCCAAGCTCATTGTAGAATTAAATCAAGAACGTCCAGGCAACGAAGTAGCCTCGACACTGGAAATCGTTAAATCTCTTATTGGTAGGAATCTCTTAATTTTTGCTAGTGGTCACATACAAATATTGGTGTCTTGAAAAATTGCTGCGTTGCAAAAATTGCAAAGAGAATAATCGAAAGTACAAGATATTGTCTCCTTACAGGTTATTTTAATCTTGATCCTAATAGAGTACTCGACATCTTGCTAGAAACTTTTGAAAACCGACCGCAAGATGATGCTCTATTTATTCCCTTAATACGCTCGTACATGAGTGATCAACAGGTACTTTGCGAGGTGTTAGGATTTAAATACTGTTCCACCGTCGACGCTACGCCATTCTCGCTGCAAAAGGTCACCGCGCTTATGCTGCAGCACAATGTGATTAAACTGGACGATATATTACCTTGGCTAGTGCCAAATGATAAAACTATTATATTAGATCACGAACAGGCGATGAAGCAGGCTAAGGAGTATGTGCGAAAATTAAGCGTGATCTCAACAAAGGACAAAGAGGATGTTGTGGAAGAGAAGGACAATGCACAAGTAGCAAGCAAAAAAAAATTTTATTAATTACTCATTGTGTTACAAATTTGAGTTTAGCTGATTATTATTTAATGAATTCAAGAGTTTTCTGATATAAATCTCTGCTCAAAATTTATTAATTGTGTATTTGTTTCTCTATAATTAAGCTTTTTTTAAAATTGGAATTTCATGAAAAACCTAACGATTTGAAGTCGGAATATTGAGTTTTATTTTAATGTAAATGTAATATATGTATATATACACATATATATTCTGTTTAAAAATTGATAAAAATTAAGTTTTGCGCGGACATTTTCATATTACAAATATCCAAGTAACAATGTTCAACTTTTTAATTAATAATTTGCTAAGCTGAGTTTATTAACCAATGATTTGCCTGCTAATTATTAATTAATGTTTCGCAAAAGTACAATATATCACTCTTTTCATTTCATTTTAAAGGACAAATATGCAAACAATCAAAAATTTGTATTATGTGAAGCCCTTCTGGAAATCGGAGCTTGGGAAGTGGCACAAAGCTTATTCAATCGTTTGCCAGATTGCTGTTTCACTGATCAACGTCCCATAGCTTTAGCGTTGTGCAAAATGATTCAGGCTCTTATCGAACCCGTATATAGGAAGTAAGCCATTAATGTTTTTTTCACGTTTATCGCTTATTTTAAAAAGGCAATTTGTAGAAAGAATTACAGTTGAGCAAAAACTGTATGCTATGCTAAAAAATTATTACACTTTTTACAATAGCTGTTCTATTTAACGATTTAATTAGCTCCCCTGAGTCACAAGTTTTCTAATTCTTCCAGGCATTGCATTGTTTCCCCCAAATTGCCGGGTCGTAAAGTGTCTCCCTTAAAAAGTGCTCTCGCACCACCACTGATACACAATCTAGAGGATATTCACGAGCATTTGTTGCCGATGCTGATCGTGCTTGGGCCGAATCTACACCACGATCCTATTCTAATGTATAAGGTGATGAGGCTGTGTCATACTGCTATCAAGCACTGTCCGCTCGACGCGGGCAAACAACCGTTGAACAAGAACTGCAGCTTATATTACGACGTATTGACAATCCTCGACGTCGCGCTGCTACCCTCGCTCTCCTTCATGGATTGCAATTGTTGCGTCGCTGAAGAATTGTGGAACATTCTAAAATATTATCCCTATCAAAATCGCTACTGTCTGTACGCGCGCTGGAAGAACGACACTCCGTTACAGCACGCAGCCCTGTTACGGAAACGGGCGGACGCCCAAAAAAAGATCAAGTCTATCATGAAACGCGTGAGCAAGGAGACGATCAAGCCGGTCGGCCGATCGATAGGGAAACTTACGCATTCTTCACCGGGTGTATTGTTCGATTATGTTCTGATACAGATCCAATTATACGATAACCTTATAGGTACATATAGTGTGCATGTCTAATGGAGCGACAAATTTAATTTTGAAAAAAAAAAAAAAAAAGAAATAATCGTTACATATCGCATTATACGTTTCAGGGCCTGTAGTAGACTCCTTAAAATACTTGACAAATATTTCGTACGACGTGTTAGGGTACTGTCTTGTGGAGGCATTAGCAGGTGCTGACAGGGATAGATTTAAACACGACGGCACCAGTATATCCTTATGGTTGCAGTCTCTGGCTTCCTTTTGCGGAGCGATATTTAAGAAATATAACATCGAATTAACGGGATTATTACAATATGTAGCGAATCAACTTAAAGCTCAAAAGAGGTATGTTCCATATATAATTAAATTTTGCGGACACAAAATATTACTGTAATTCTTTTAACCATTAAATTATTGTTATATTGTATATAACATTTTAAAATCTGTTTCCAGCCTAGATCTACTGATATTGAAAGAGATAGTACAAAAGATGGCCGGTATCGAGGCAGCCGAAGAAATGACATCTGATCAATTAGATGCAATGGCGGGTGGTGATTTGTTGAAAAATGAGGTAAATCCTAACATTATCCGAATACATAATATTTTATACAAAATTTTGATACAGATTAGTTGTCTTATGTGAAAATATTATTCCTCAAGGCCGGTTACTTCAGTCAAGTCCGCAACACGAAGAAATCTTCACAGCGTTTGAAGGAAGCTCTCGCCGAGCACGATCTCGCAGTCGCCTTATGCTTGCTAATGGCACAACAGAAACACTGCGTCGTTTACAGAGAGACGGACAAATCTCATCTGAAACTTGTTGGTAAGTTGAATTATACATGGAAAATAGTATAAGAGTAAAAAAAAAACTCTTTTCTATCATTTTATTCTTAATTATTTTATTTTATTTTTATTTTTTACATCTATAACAGGCAAGTTGTACGATCAGTGTCAAGATACACTGGTACAATTTGGAACGTTTCTGGGCTCAACTATGACGGTGGACGAGTATGTGGAGCGACTGCCTTCAATTCATTCTATGCTCCAAGATAATCACATACACTCGGATGTCGCATTTTTTCTGGCGAGGCCAATGTTTGCACATGCCATAAATGTAAGCGAGCCATTTATACACACTTTCAAATTTCCCAAAGCATCCTAATATTTCCTTGATCTAATAGTCTGAACTATTAGAGAATCACAGCACAAATAATTGGCAAAATAAACCACTTTTCCGAATTTTATTTCAAAAATATTTAAATATTGCTTATAATTTTATTTGTTAATTTAACACGTATTTTTATGCATTCTATAATCTTGATTTTATTTTTGAAGATAAAATATGATGCCCTTCGTAAAGCCGATCCGAATTATAAGAAAATGTCCACGGCTATGAAGCAATTGAAATATGCGGAAGCCGCGCAAGCTGTTATGGCACCCGTCGCTCAGTCAGTCAGACCGTTGCACCCTCTAAAAGTATGGGAGGACATATCACCACAATTCTTAGTCACATTTTGGTCCCTGTCGATGTACGATTTGTATGTACCGGTGGAAAGCTATCAAAGGGAAATCAGCAAGTTGAAACAACTCGCGGCACAGACGGCCGATTCCAAAGATATGGTAACGCGATATTAGCAAACTTAGCATTTTATTACGTTGATTACAGTACTGTATGTCGCAAAAAAATGATTTGTTTTAAACTTAAGAAAATACTTTTCTCTTTTCTTCTTAATTTAAACTGAGAGTGATGCTGGTTTTTAGAATATAAGTAAAGGAAAAAAGGAACAAGAAAGGTATACTACTCTGATTGAAAAGCTGCAGGACGAAAAGAAGAAGCAAGAGGAACATGTCGAAAAAGTATTTGCGTACCTGAGGTAAATTGCTGCACATAATTTCTATAACACATATAATAATATGATTCTCATATAATTACATATATGATTATAATAATTGTTCACTAATTCTGATACTTATATGATTATTATTGACTTGTAGACAAGAGAAGGATACATGGTTCTTGTCACGAAGCGCCAAGTCTGCGAAGAATGAGACGATAACGCAATTTCTGCAGTTGTGCCTATTTCCGCGGTGTACATTCACAACTGTGGACGCCATGTACTGTGCGAAATTTGTACATACCATCCACTCCTTGAAAACTGCAAATTTTTCGACCCTGCTTTGCTACGATCGTGTAAGTCACTTCTTTCTAGTATTAATGATTTTATTGGTGTGTGACATATTCTGAAAAATCGTATCTCAAAATTTTTTTTTGGAGTATAATTTTCCAAGACATTAAACACTACATAAATTTGTAGTTTATCAGATTTTTATTTTTAACAGTAAGTTATTTGTCTTTCCAGCTTTTCTGTGATATTACCTATTCAGTTACTTCATGCACAGAGAACGAAGCAAATCGATATGGCAGATTTTTGTGCGCCATGTTGGAGACTGTGATGAGGTGGCATTCCGAGAAAGCCATATTCGATAAGGTAATAGAAATACAAATTAACAAAGTACTTTGCTTTTTAAGACTCCAAAGTTATTTTTGAAAGAGAGAATCACGCTTTTTTATATAAATATTAATTCTGATATGTATTTGTCTTGTATCAATTAGAAAATTTTTTTGCCATAGGAATGCAGTAATTATCCCGGATTCGTGACCAAGTTTCGCGTGAGCAATCAATTTTCTGAAGCGAATGATATGGTCGGATTTGAAAATTACAGACATGTGTGTCACAAATGGCATTACAAAATCACAAAGGTGCAATCTTAGAAATATATTATTAGTATTTTTAATACGAAGAAGATATTTCAATGCTGGCAATAATTCAGCTCCTATAATTTAATCTTTCTTTTTTCTTTCTTTTTTAACAGGCTATTGTAGTATGTTTAGATTCTAAAGATTATGTGCAAATAAGGAATTCTTTGATAATACTGATCAAGATATTGCCACATTTTCCTGTCTTGGCAAAACTCTCTCAGATCCTTGAGCGAAAAGTAGAAAAAGTGAGAGAGGAAGAG